TCCCCTGGAACTGGAGTTACAGATGGTTGTTAGCCACCATATGGGTGCTGGGAATCAAACCCAGGTCCTCTGCAAGAGCAGTCAGTGCTCTTAACTGCTGAGCCATCTCTCCAGCCCCTGTATTTTATTATTTTATGTGTATGAGTGTATTGCTTACGTATGGGTAGGTCCACCTGTGTTGTGCAGTGCCCACAGAGGTCAGAAGAAGGAGTCAGATCCCCTGGAACTGGAGTTACAGACGGTTGTTAGCCACCATGTGGGTGCTGGGAACCAAACCCAGGTCCTCTTAACTGCTGTCCCAAAGTTAATTTCTTGAACAAAAGTTTGGATCACTCTAGCAACCAGGTTTCCAGGTACCCAATGGTGTCAAGATGGCAGGGATGGCCCGTTTGTAACAGAGCTATGTTGGAACTATCTGATGACCTGCAGGTTGTTTTGTTTTGAGACAGGCACCCCTGCAAGAGTTGGGGTCTGACAGCCAAGGCTGGATTTCTGTAGCATCTCCTTCACTGCTGGCACTTTTCCTCTTAATTTTGTTACATTTTAGGAGAAAAATGGAAAGAAATTTAACTCTGTATGTGAAAAGATGTAAAAAGATCTCCTTCCTTGGTAACTAAGTAGCAAAAGTACAAAGCAGTAAGCATGCACTATGGAGAGGTATGGGACTATAAGTGCGGGGTTGGGGGCTACTACAGATTGTGAGTATACTTGAACTTGTTGAAGGTATGCAATGCAAATTAACAGTTATGTATCCTTGTTTCCCTTTCCTTTGTTATGTATAATTTAACCTTGTTTTAGAAGATCCTAACTGAGACTATAATCTCTGACATGAGAAATTCCAGGAAACTTTTAACTGATTTAGAATTTTTTGTGGCCAGGCTATGAGAGAGAGAGAGAGAGAGAGAGAGAGAGAGAGAGAGAGAGAGTTTGTGGTTATGCATGCCAGTGCAAAAGCTCATGGGAGGCCAAAGCATGTGTCTATTTCTTTCCATGCTACTGCCTTGAGACAGGATCTCTCAACGAAGCAGAAGCAGTTTTGGCTAGGATGGCTGGCCAGCAAGCTCTCTCAGGATCCAGCTGTCTTGTCCCTCAGTGCTGGGTTTATAAACACGTGCAACCATACCTAGCTTGTTACATGGCTGCTGGGATTCAAACTCAGGTACTCAAGCTTGCAGAGCAAGCTCTCTTGCCCACTGAGCCATCTCCCCAGCCCTGCCTCCCTGACCCCTGCGCCAGGTTTAAATTCAGTAGTATGTAAGATATTCACAGAGTTGCAACCATCATCACAATCAATTCACATTAATTCATGAAAATATGCATCTTTTAAACTCTTGTTTGGTCAGTTTTCTTTAATAGTTTTTTTAGTGCATTGCAAGGGAGCAGTGGGCTCAGCAGTAACTAGAATACTGTCTGCCTTGTTGGACCAGTTTAGCAGTTGAACTATGGGATTTCTTATTTACCAATGAAGATTTATCTTAAAATTTGAATCTAATCTTGCTTAAATTCTGCCGGGCTATATATTGCCCTTTCAGCATACACACACACACACCACACACTTTAAGACACACACACCACACACTTTTAAGAGACCGACCAAAAGAAAATAGAACAACCTCACACAAGACATGGCAGTTAGAAAAAGAATCTCAATTTCATCTCTCAAAAGTAGGTTTAAAATAATCATAGTCCAATTTTTGCCAGGCAGGTGGTACACGTCTGTAATCCCAGCATTTGGGAGTCTGAGGTGAGACACTTGCCTTAAATTCAAGACCAGCCTGGGATATACAGTGAGATCTTGTCCTAAGGGAAAAAAAATTAAATAACTTTAAATCAGCTGTAATGGCATACATCTGTAATCCCAGCACTTGGAAGGTTGAAACAGCAGGATCATAAGTTCAAGGTCAGCTAGAGATACATACTAGGACATGGGTTTTTAGAAAATTTAACTTTGCAGGGTATGGTGGTGCCCACCTTTATTCGTAGCACTTGGGAGACAGAGGCAGGCAGATCTCTGTGCGTTCAAGGCCAGCCTGGTCTACATAGTGAGTTCCAGGCCAGCTGGAGCTACAGGGAGACCCTAACTCAAAAAAAAAAAAAAAAAAAAAAAATCAACTTTGTTCACCTTTATCTTTGTTTGAGACAGGGTCTCCCTGTGTAGCCTGAGTGGGCTTATAAATATGTACACCAGGCTGGCCTCAAACTCATAATCTACCTCAGTGCTGTGATTAAAGGCATGTGCCACCATGCTTAGCCTTTTTTTTTTTTTTTTGTAATTTTTTTTATGTGTATGAGTGTTTTGGTTGCATGTATGCATACACCATATTTGTGCAATGACCTCAGATACCAGAAGAGGGTGTCAGATCCCTTAGGACTGGAGTTAAGGACAGTTGTTAGCAGCCATGTGGGTGTTGGGAACAGAACCCTGGTCCTCTACAAGAGCAGCCAGTGCTCTTAACCACTGAGCCATCTCTTCAGCTCTGGAAATGTTTAACTTTTTGTCATGCTGAAAATACCTGTTATTTTCAATTTTCTGTTATTTGTGTCTCCCACCATCCAATCTTTAGTATTTCTTTTTTTAAAACTTTTTTTTTTTTTTAATTTTATGTGTATGAGTGTGTTGCCTGATTGTGAGTGCACCCATGTCTTGCAATGCTGCGGAGGTCAGAAGAGGGCTTTGGATTCCCCTGGAACTGGAGTTAAGGATGGTTTGTAGCTGCCATGTGGGTGCTGGGAATTGAACCCAGGTCCTCTGCAAGAGCAGTCAGTGCTCTTAACCACGGAACCATCTCTCCAGCCTCCTAATCTTTAGTATTTCAAACACAGTTTATATGTAAATATTTTGAAATTCCAAAACTGTAAGCAAAGAGGATGATTTTATGGAATGATATTAAAACTATGTAATATGTGGAATCTTATTATTGGCACATTATACGTACAAACTGCTGTATATGCAATCACATGAAATAGATGTGAAATAAATTTGCAAAATGCACTTATCTGCACCCATAAATTCTCTAGTTTGCTCATAGGACAACTTGTAGCTTGCTTGCTTGTAGTTGCTTGCTAAAAAGAAATTTCCAAATGTAGAGAATCTATGACAATGTTCTGATTTGCCTGGCTCAAACAAAATTTTAACATCTCATCATTTGTTTGTTTGTAGACATTTCCTCCATGTAGCCAAGACTGGCCTTAAAGGTGCACTTCTCCTGCCTGTCTTCTGGGGCTGGGATCTCAGACAGGTGCCACCATTCCCAGCTTTCCTTTTAAGTGTCTACACATTATCCCTTTGGCAATTTATTGGAGTTTTACAGAAAGATAAGCTCAGGGATGGTAAGAAGTCTCCAGAATCCAGATTCTTCCTTGTTTTAGCAAACAAGACGATTGACTGGCTGACCTTTGGACCCATCCCTTTCTTCGCCTCCTCCTCCTTCTCCTCCTCCTCCTCTTCCTCCTCCTCCTCCTTCTTCTTCTTCTTTTTTTTGTCTTTTTGAGGCAGGGTCTCCCTGTAGCCCCAGCTGTCCTGGAACTCACTATGCCATCCCTATCTTCTATCTCAATAGAGACCACTTACAAGTTGCACAGTCTCCAATACAAATTCACCAAGCATCCTGGCAATCTGTTCCACACAGCCAGAGGCAAAAGCAGATCAGCCAGATGATAGGAGATGTCCGCCACAGTGCCAGAAGTTATTTTCCTCCTTGTCCTCTGTTTGCCCCATTTATGCCAAGGCCAATCACAGTGAATTTTTAGATCCTGCTGTAGCTATCTAGTCCATCTCCACTCTGGTCCTCTCAGTGGCTCACTGACAATTCCTTCTGTTTGTGGATGGTCAGAAAAATACATATATGGCTCTACACTGACCAGGGTTTGAGCCACCTGATCACTTCTGTGTGACATTAGGCAAATGATTTAATCTCTTTGGGACTCTGTTTCCTGTTCTGAAAAATAAAAGTTAACACTGCTGGAGAGATGGCCTAGCAGTTAAGAGCACTGGCTGCTCTTGCAGAGGACAGGAAGTTCAGTTCCCAGCACCCAAATGGCCCTAACAACCATCTCTAACTGCAGTTCCAGGGGATCCTACACCCTCTTCTGCCTCCACAGACATTGCATGCATGGGTGCACTAACATAAAAGTAAGCCAAACACAAACAAACATGAGGATTAACAGGGGCCTCGAAGGTTATATGAAGTACCCTCAACTGATGCATAAGTGGACTCACCAAGTGTTCACTCAACTCCATCCTCCCACTGCACTTTCCACAATTCACTTTGCACAGCACCCCAAATCCCAGCTAGTAAGTCTCTACTACACTATGTAAGGGCAAGCCCTGGGTGGAGCTTCTTGCTCCAGGGCCTTACAGGATGAGCTGGGGAAAGGGTTCTAAGCCTAGATCTAATCCTTAAAAACAGGCCCGTGAGGCAAACAAGGTAAAAAACAAAAGAAGAAAAGGGCAGAGGGTTCAAAAGTAAGAACGGAGTCCAAAGTCAAACATACTTCCTTCTCCTGCTCCCCAAAGCATATTTGCTCGGGCCATGCGGCCCAAGTGTTGGGTTATTTTCGTGTCCGTCACCCCGACATGGCCATCGCAAGCTGGGGTCGGTTCCCCCTCCCGTCATCCCTGGGCTGCGCCATCACCCCCACATGGCCATCCCAACCGTGAGCTGAGGTCTGGTCCCCCTCCTGTCACCCCAGGGCGGCCACACAGCCGGCCTTCTTTGGGGCCCCGGCCTGGCTGCCTTCTGTGCACGGAGGGGTAGTTGAGGCTTGGCGCGGTCGCCCCACCCCCGCCGGTGGAGTCCCGGATCCCCCAGGGCAGGGCGGGCGCCGCAGGGCGGGAAACCAGCCTCGCCCGGCGCCTCCGCCTACAGTATGCAGCCCGCGTTCCTTCCCGCCGGGGAGCCCAAGCTCCGCCCCGCCAGCAAGTGGCTGGTAGGGCGAGGGGGTCCCCCAGGGCCGAGTGCACCCCACCCCTGAAAGGAGCCCGGCGCCGGGGCAGGAGACGCACTGCTTTCGGGGCGTCAGCCTGGTGGTCCTCACAGAGGTTGGCGGCCGGGAGACACAAGGGGCCCCCCCGCGGAAGTGGGAGCGATGGCAGCGCCCAGACAGCCCTAGAAAGTGGGTCTCTGAGCACCCCGGGAGCACACGGCCATGGCCCCGCCCAGGCCCAGCCAAGCCACGCCCTCCCCAGGCCCCGCCCCTAGCCTTAGGTCCTGTGGCCGCTGGTTCGCACCCCACTTGTCAGCCCTGCCTGCTGTGCCTTTGGATCGAACGCTTTCAGCGCAGCCGTCGCTCGCCCGCCCGCCCGCCGTCGGACCAAGCCGCCTGCACGCTCGTGTTCTCCCTGCGGTCCGGTGAGCGCCTCACCAGCTCCACGAACTTCTTCCCTCCTCTTCGTGTTACCGGCTCCCGAATTCCCCTTCCCTCCAGCCTGTACTTTTCCTCTGTCGTCTTACTCTTCTTTCTCTCCTCTCCGACGTTTACTAACTCCCCTTTGTTCTCCCTCGTGGCCAGTTGGCTATAATTTAAGCCTCCATCCATCCATTCACTCCTTCCCCTGGCCTTGGGTTAAGTCAGCGGAGACCCGAATGACTGTCTCCAGGTGGCTGTGGGCCATGAACCCTAAGGCCTGTTGGGGTTTCTGGAGGGAGTTTGGTCTTCAGTGGCGGGGGACGGGTGTGTGTGTGTGTGTGTGTGTGTGTGTGT